CAGGACTCCACAGAGATTTCGCTTACTAAAAGAACGACTGAATATAATCCGATCATATACGTGAGAGAAAAATGCATGCTTTATGATATCTTTAAAAAATATTGACAGCGTAGGCGATACGATTTGATTCTTTCTTTATTTATCAAATATTGAAATGCAGCTGTAATGTGACTTGATGGGAGTACTAGCAGAAATGTCAGCAGCTGCGGGTTTGAGAAAACGTAAGAGAGAGTGGTTAAGAACGCAGCCTAAGTTGTGGTACTGATATTTTGAGAAGGGACGGAAGAAATCCGACAGAAGACGAGTTTCATGATATATGCGTATCTTCCGAAGCGCGTCGAGAAGGGCCGAGAACTACAGGGCTACTATAACTGATTCATTCATTTTTAAAACGCTATATTTTCAAAAGTATTACACATACAAATAAAACTATAAAAAAAAGAACCGTAAACTCACAAAGTTTGTATTATATGCACCAGTTGGCAGCACGAGTTCAGTGCCTTTACAAAATGGCGGCAAAGCAACATTTACAGCAGTGCAACGCGCATTCAAAAGAGAGTACGGAAAAGAACCGCCATGTAAACAAAGCATTTTGCGGTGGTATCGGCAATGTCCGTCGCTACCTAAACAGCGAACTTCGGCAACGCTGGATTGGGCGTGTTGGTGAGGATGCGTAGCTCTGTTCACTTGGTCCCCCAGATCACCTGATCTAACGCATTGTGATTTCTTCCTTTGGGTGTACACTAAGGATCGTGTTTACGTACCCCCACTAGTAGAGCTGAGGGAACGCATCGATGCTGCAGTGATGACCAGTGACAGGATGATGCTACAAAATGTGTGGAACGAACTCGACTACAGCCTGGACGTGTGCCATGTGACCCAAGGGGCACACATAGAACATTTGTAGAGTATGACGAAAACTTGGTGAGTTTATGGTTCTTCTTATATATTAATCATATTTATATGTATATTGCTTTGGAAAATATAGCATTCTAAAAACGAATGAATCATTTATAGTAGCCCTGTATACTGAAAACAGTATAGCGACCAGAGGAGTGATATGTCTGTGTTTACGAATTTTTAGCTCCTGAAGTTCACTCTTGTCAGATTTTAGTGTAAGAAAATATTACGGGCTGTATACATAATTTAACGATAATATAGCGTTTGTGCCAATGAAAGCCAAGAAGTCCGTGCCACCTTTGTTTTTACCTTATTAGACCCATAGCCATTAACCGCCTACGTTTTCGTTTTAAGTTTAGACAAGCCTGCCTGGTATTTACCAAACAAATTATATTCTCTCACAGAACTGAAAGTTCATGCCAAAGGCCACGTACATTTTGCACGGAAAGTTCTGTCCGTACATGCGGAATGAAGTATGAGAATAATTAAAAAACAGTTAAGCTTTTGTGTAAACCCAGCTGGAGGTACTGCTTGCTAAAATTTCACACAAAATATTCATTAACTCGAAAGTAAATCACAGGGCAGTCACTAGGAATAAGCTTAATAGGATGGCAGCGAACTAAAAACGTATGAAATCTCGTATTGAGCTATATTCAAAAATGGCTCTCTTTTATGAAAATTTAGTGACAATTATTGCGAGTAATTAGGGCCTTTCTCTTCTTGTGTTCGCAGAGAGTATTGTATTGCACTGGAACAAACAGTTGTATAATGTTTAACTAACTTTCTGGAACCTTCCTGTTTGGTTCACAGCTTCTTGTGCAGCCTATATTTCGATGTAGTGTCATCTGTGAATGCAACTGCTGCAGCAGGTCGCTGTGTTAATTTATCAAGCTTGCAATATGTATGAATGTTATCTGCTGTAAACATGTGTGTTATAATGTATGGAAATATACGTGCTACCACAGCTTAATCAGTAAAGTGACCGGCCACGACCAGTGTAACAGGTGTCAGATTCTTGATACGCAATAGAAATGTTCTCTTCTCCACTGCGTCTAAACGGAAACTAACGCCAAAAGAGTACTCCTGGACCTTCCGTGTGAGTATGAAAGAATGCATAAGGGGTGGACCCTTACGACCCTTGCGCTGTGACCTTCAATGATCTGTTGTGCTTCCTCTTTTTTGTTTAACCCTTTATCAATCCTACACCTCGAATTAAAAGAAGAAGTCTATCTGTGTGGGCGTAATAATTGTCATTTGGTTCTATAAAGAACCGGCTCAAGTTTCTTGAGAATAAGGCGGACGAAGCGAGAAAGTCATCGCTCTGCTCCGCCAAGTTCACCTTGGAGCTGTACCTCTATTCTGTTATGTGTCTTCGCGTCGTTGTGTTTAGCAGAACACGGAGAAAACAATACAAGACGTAGAGGCGTAGCTGTGACGCGTCTGAAGATGTTAGTGGTTATCCTCAGACCTCCTAAAGTGTTCTGGGATAGTTCCTTAAGAACTGCTTTCACATGTATCCTTCCTCTTCTTTCCATTCCAATCTTGATCTTCTGTCACGTTCAGTAGTCGGCAACTTTTGCAATGTAACTGAAGTCCGAAATAACTGACCAATCTGTGTAAAGTAAAGATAAAATTGTCTTTGTACTTAATTCATTAAGCGGAACGCCATGAAGACTTGTGAAGTGAGTGGAGGTATAGCTCTACCATTCTTGACCTCGGCACTAGATGGAGGTGAATAGTCAGTTTCACGCCTCGGCCGTTATACTCCCGGGGAAAGAGGCCCCGATGCCCATTCGATAGGAGGCTGGGTGGGCCCCGGAGCGCTCTGGACCCTATATGGAAGAGAAGAATCAATTTTACCTGCCAGGAATCGAATCTTGGCCGTCCAGCCCGTAGCCCACTGCTATGCCGACTGAGCTATCCCGGCTCCTAACCTGGCTGTAAATATGATTTCAATCCGTATATAAATAATAGAATGTTTTAGGGCTTTATATCCCTGTAGCCTACTTTCTTTGTTTTGAAAAAATTAAAATAGACTTATGAGATCACCTTCTTGTCTGTCTGTCTGTCTGTCTGTCTACATAACCGTCTACGTCTGTCCAATCTGTGTGTATCGCTTTCCATTTTTAGGAGGATTATGAGATCACCTTGCTGTCTGTGTGTCAGTCCCCCCACTCTGTTTTCGCTAAACAATGGCCCGTTCTTAGTTATTACAGAATATCATTATTAGAATATGTGTCTGTGTCCCCTTAATTCTTCCGTTTTCTATGTGGTTCGTGTCACGTCAAATGTGAGTAGGTTGTTAGTTCTTCCCAGAACTTCTTGCTAATTAATTCTCCTCTAAGACTGCTGTGTGACAAGATAGAGGGAAACGCCATTCATAATATCCACAACAACTCAGAAGGAAAAAATAATAATAACGAAATCAATCCAATTTCAATAACATTGGGTAGCATCAGGTTTGTATTTCTAGGCGATGTGAATAAAGGTATAGGAGAATAAAAGAGATAGAGGCAAACAAGAAGATGTGAAAGCATAGCAATAGTGGAAAAGCTTTCAGTTCCTTTAGGCCGGTTGTCAGACACACCTGTTGGCTCCTGCGCATGAAAGCGGTTGCTATGGCATTCTGACCACGCAATATCTGGTGGATTCAGTTGAGCTTATATTCTTTGTTGTCAGAAATGGAAGAAAATGCTTCCAGTTTATAGGTACTGCATCTATGGAGTAGTGTCAACACATCACACGTATTCCTCTAAAATCCCTATCTTCGTCACTACTATCTCCATCATGGAGCCTCGCAATCACAGTGGAGGCCATTTTCGTACATCTTCACAGTCTTCAACGAAATGGATCATGTTTCTTTGCACTTAACGCTTCTCGTTCCGATATCAATCAGGCCGCATAGCACAGAGCGTCTCTCTGTCTCTGGCATTATTCTTGCCCTTCACTGACTCTGCAACCTGCTGTGAATCCTGGTCTCCACCGTGGTTTCGGAACGGTAAATGTTATTGGGTTTTATGTCGTTAGCACCACGCCCAACCCCAAACCTGGAGGACTAGGGACTACAATTCGTCTGGTACCCTACTCCTTTACTTATCTGGAATCGACTAACGTAGGATTTCCCTCCCACATGTGAGAGCATCTCCTTCCAGACATCCTTGTTACCATCAAGTGATAGTTCAGCTAGAACGAGGGAGAATTTTAAGGATAAATTCCGCTCCTGACTGGTGTATCGGGATATTTCTCTTCATAATCAGGTACGGAGGTGCCCTGGGGCTCTTTCTCGTAGGTAAAAGCGACGGGATGTGAAATTGATTTCTGTCTGGCCTGAAGTTTTACCTCTGTGTACCCGGTATTCATATGGCTTCATATATCTGCGTTTTGTCAGCCATTCTAAATCAAATACACGTGGCAAATCTCAGAGATCTCCTCTTCTGTACATGAAGAATAAGGACTTCAGGGGTCCGGTTTTCATTGCTGTTTCTTGTGTTGAACTGTGCTTAATGTTACACTTCCGCAATATTTTTTTAATAATTTTTGTTCCAGGTTCCCTACTCTCCTTCCATTCAAATCCAATTACAGTTAAAAGAAGAAGTGTTAACATTTAATTCCTTTCTCAACATCTTCAATTCATAAATTCATATTATATATCTAATTTATTTTTGTTCCGCAGATTGAGAAAATCTACCTCTCATTCTTGTCGAAAGTCGAAACTAACACATGCAGTAGTTATGCCACTGTGTTGCGAGGAAGAATTATATATATACGTACGTACATGTCGACAGAATGCGTACAATTGTTCATTTAATATACTGCAAGGGCCATTATAAAATGTGATTAAGGAAAATGGTTGGCTCCAAATATGAAATAATATTAATAACAGTGACTTGGTACAGTACAGTGGCTGCAAATGCAAATGGTGTAGAGGCCAGAAGATTTGCCTATGCGTCTGCTATAAATAGAATCGTTAGACTAACCCCTTCCCCATTCCGTTGATCCAAGTCATTTTATTCGTACCACTTCTCTTGTGGGAGCGGGGTTTGATTAAGTGTTCCCAGTACTGCGTAGCACAAATCGATGTTAATATTTTTCTGTTGCAGATAACGCCACCACGGTGTACTGTGAGCTGTATATTCGCAGTTTCGGCTCCATCAGCCCTGCCACCATGGTGAGTTTGCTGCATTCACTTCATACGCCCCATACACAGTACTTCAGACTTCGAAATCTGTGAGGCTGTTTCTAAACATGTAAGGGGGTTGGTCTAGAAGTAAACGCAAAGGATTACGTATATGTTGCTGTCTCGTAGCCAGAATACGAGATAAACTGATAACAAAGATAACTAATAAACCCTTTGTAAAAATATAAAAATTTGAATATACCACGTACACAGCTATAATTTTGCCTGTGTTTCTGTATTGGCGCGAAATTTTGTCTCTGATATTAAGGGAGAAACATAGATTGAGGGTCTTCATTCATTGCATCCTGTTGTGTGTTACAGATATATACGTGGTAGAGTCATTAAGTTCGTGGAATGTGATTTTATCGCATGATATTACAAAGTATTCATATAGACTTACACAAATCCACATCGGCCCTTAAAATAGTTGCCGTTGGCCTCTATGCAAGTCTGCCAACGTTGATATAGCTGCCGAAAACATTGCTGAAACATATTGGCAGGAAATTCCCGTACGGCGTCTCTTGTGGCAATGACGACCTCCTCGGACGCCTGAAATCTACGACCGCGTAGCTTTGCTTTCACGCGGTGAAACAGAAAGAAATCGCATGTTGCGAGATCAGGTGAGTACGGAGGGTGTGGCAAAACGGTGACCTGTTGCCTTGCCGGCTCCCCTTGGACAAGAACAGAGCGATGTGCAAGGGTGTTGTCGTGTAGCAACAACCAATTCTTCATACGCCAAATGTTTCGGTAGGGGATTTGCCTAGTTTCTGGCAGAACTTGATGTTTGTCCATTGTTCAAACTGACACATTTTCGATTTCGGCCACTCGCACAACAGAGGCCGTAATTCTGCTTACACTGTTTGCACACAACTGCCTCTTGCTGTGACGAGAGGTGAACCGACAGGGCATCATATCGTGCCTCACCCTATACGCTGTAGTGCACTGCACCGACGCTTTGCGGCCATTCCACGAACTTATTGACTGTGCGTACTGGTGGAAGGAGTGGGCGTATGCAACGTAACTCGAGGAAANTCATGTGACCGAAACATGTAGCAGTATATAGACTGAGGGTGTCTGAGAACAGGGTGCTGAGGGGAGTTTTTGGACCAGAGGGGAATGAAGTCATAGGAGGCTGGAGAAACTGCACAATGAGGAGCTTCATAATTTGTACCCTTCTCCAAATATAATTAGAATGATCAAGTCAAGGAGGGTGAGATGTACAGGGGATGTAGGGTGGATGGGATTGAAGAGAAATGCAGGCACGATTTTTGTTTGAAAGCCATAAAAAAGAGAACACTAGGAAGAACTAAACGTAGATGGGGGATAATATTAAGATGGATCTTAGAGAGATAAAATAAGTTTGTATGGACTACATTGATCTGGTTCAGGATAGAGACCAGTGGAGGGCTCTTGTAAACACGGTAATAAAAATTCGGGTTCTATAAAATATTGCAAAGCTCTTTACTTGCTGCTCAACTGGCAGTTTCTAAAAAAAGGCTAAGCTCACTGGGGTTAGTTTCAAAAGACGAGATTCTTTATGGAAATCGTTTTTTAAATGATTTGAATTAGATGATAGGAAATTTCAGTATTTAAACCTTGATATGAATATCCTACTAGTGTGCACGTCAATCGTCCGGCGATTATCGAAATCCATCGAACCAATATTACTTACTTATGCGCACTAGGAAAACTTTCTCAGAAAGTCGTGAAGAAGTGTGTAACCATACTACTGGTATTCCACTCTTCGGCCACATACTTTCATTGATTTCACTGATCTGTAATGAATTCTCTGTCTGGAGAATTGTGTGCGCATTGTATTGATCCAGATACGCAAAATCCAAAACTGACATTCGTGTTAGTCCGTCACGTACATTTTGCAGTAATTTTTATGATGGTAATTCTTATGGAATTGGAAATGCTTCCTGTTAATTATCGATTCCACTATAATTTTACCTGTTGTTCTGTATGGGTCTGAAAATTGGTCTCTGACATTAAGGGAGGAACATAGGCTAAGGATGTTTTAGAACAGGGCGCTGAGAATATTTGGACCGAAGAGAGATGAAGTGACAGGAGGTTGGACAAGACTGCATAATGAAGAGCTTCATAACTTGTACCCTTCTCCAAGTATAATTAGACTGATCAAGTCAAGGAGGATGAAATGGGCAGGCCATGTAGCACGAATGGAGGAGACCATGAATAAATATAGGATACTGGTGGGAAAGCCTGAAGGAAATAGAACACTGGGAAGAGCAAGGCGTAACTGATTGGACAATATTAAAGTGGATCTTAGAGAGAGAGGATTGGATGGTATGGATTGGATTGATCTGGCTCAGAATAGAGACCAGTGGAGGGCTCTTGTGAACACGATAATGAACCTTTGCGTTCCATAAAATGCTGGGAAGTTCTTTGAGCAGCTGCACAACTGGCGGTTTCTCAAGAAGGGCTCGGCTCCATGGGTGAGTGAGTGAGTGAGTGAGTGAGTGAGTGAGTGAGTACGTACTGTGGCTTACCACTACGCGGCTTAAACGTATCTCATATCCAAATGCCCTCTTGTTTTACCTCCGTCCCCCCTTTGCCCTTTATTCTAAAGCTGCCCGACACACTTGGTTATGGGTTTTAACCCTGTGTAATTTGTACCTCCTTTAGGACAAAGTTCTGTGTCAGAGCCGGAAGGAATCCTGCTTGTAAAGTGACGCTTTATCCTTACTGGGGATAACTACCCTCTAGATGTTAGTAATTCAGTTACTGCCACCTCATGTATAAGGCTCACCCTCTACTAGTATCCCACACGGGGAACAATTTCACATCTCTGGGTCCCCTCTTGCCATCGATTTGCGGGAAATGTGGGAATTGGGAAGTTTCTTGCTTGCTTCTCCTAATGCGAGAGTGGGGCACGAGCGTACATTAGATGCAGAAACCGCGCCTCCCTCCCCCCGCTGCAGGTTTAAGAAATATTATATTTGAAATTTTGGTTTCCCAAAACAAAGTGGCATTTCCTCCGCTGAATGTAAAATTGTACTTGAAGAAGCTTTGGTAAAGTAAGTGACTATCTCAAATGCATCTGTAACAAATATATGGATCTCATTTGTGGGAAAGATGAAGAATATTTTCTTGTTGGGACTCGGAATAGGAATTTGGCTTCTGATGAAGAGTCTGAGGGAACAAAGGGAGGAGTTGAAATAAAAGCATGGGTTGCTTTTAACCCTTGAACGACGCAGGACATTTAATTCCTACTCACTCCTTGGGACGGAGGGTATTTATACATTTAAAGCGGTAAAGACAACATTTTACTTAAAGTGTAATAAATTGGGAAAAACTGGAGTTCTGTTTTTCTAGTTTTCAAACTAATTTTCACTCATATAAAATCTGTGTATTGATCCACAGTGCTTTAATTTTTTTGTGCAGTAATCCTACAAATATTTGGAATAATGATATTATATTATCTTAGAAATTCAGTTGGGTGTGTTAGTCGTGAAAACATTCCACACAGGGTCCCACGTCACGTGCGTCACACCGGTACACAGTTTTTGACTCACAACAAGCCGTTTCTGTGGTCTTGATTCGTTCGCAGTTGGTGGAATCTTTCTCTTAGACGGGGCACTGTTTTTGTCTGACGAATGTCGATCCGGCACTTTGTGTTTTACAGCATTAGCATATTTTACAGGGAGTCCCTCAATTAAACGAATTCTGATTGACAATTAATCTATTCTTTTCCTTGTTTTATTCCTACATATTTTCATCGCATTCAGAATTTTTCTTTCTGCCCCTTATGCTTTTGCACATTCTCCCAATGGATGTTCGTGCATTTCTCGATTGTCATTTACCACAAAATCGAGAGAAGCACAAATATCCATTTTCAGTGTCAAATTCAAAATATCATAAAACTTTGCTTTGATTTGAAGTAAAAAAATCCTCCACTGGTCATGACAAAACACACCTAGCAACTTCGCTGCTCACCTGGCCTTGAATGCTAAAACCAGACTACACGATGCGTCCTTATAAAACAAAGGGGAATTACAGTCGCATCATTCACATACTCGTAGTGAACTGTTTTTCATTTGTTACATGGCAGTCACAACACTTCTTAGAGTCAACATCGTGTCTCAACGTCTTAGATTCTCCATGTTTTCTCGTGGTTACAAATTCCAATCTACAAGCAGCACTGATCAAAACATGCCTCGAGAGCATCGGTTTAGCAAGCTGATTTAGTTCATAAGAATTCCGCTAGGGACGAGGATACATTTGTACGATATTAAGCACGCCAAGTGTTGAGGTGTTTTCTCGTGGTTACAAATTCCAATCTACAAGCAGCACTGGTCAAAACATGCCTTGAGAGAATCGATTTTTCATTTGATCAGAAAGCAGGATAGCTTACAATATCGATCTACCTTATTTAGTTCATAAGAATTCCGCTAGGGGCAAGGATAGATTTGTACGGTATTAAGCGCACCAAGTGTTGAGGTAGAAAACTTTTTCAAAGATTTCAAATGTAATACAACTGTCGCGGGAGGTTCAAAGTGGGACAATGCGTATACGAGATGTTAGTCTGAATTTTCATCTTTAATTTCGTACCAAAAGAATGACTTTACGTGAAGAACAACATTTCGGAATACGAGCTGAAGCTTAGGGCTGCACTAAGCGTGGCAGGTATGAACTTCAGCGACGTGCGACAGAAGCCGCTGGCGTGCCATGCACGGACTAGAGCACCGAAGGTTTAATAAGTTAGCAGAACTCTCAGATCATTGAAGGTCGCAGTGCTGGGGTCCGATTTTATGGCCCACCACTTACATACATTACATTACGCAGAACTTCTTAGTGGAAAATAAATATCCAAATTACAATGAATTTCGAAAATTATGCTGCATTATGAACTTGAAATTTTAATTCTTACACTTAGGATTTAATTATTTTTTTTTAATCATTAATAAGCAACGGGAAAATTTTCACCAGGTCATTAAATAAGGGAAAATGAAATGTCCGCATGACCGCAG